ATGCATCGAACCCTCAGAAAATGCCAAGCCACATCTCACATGTTCATTTACTGCACGTTTCAAGAAATATTCTCCTGGTTGGTTTTGAATCTGAAATGGATGATGATTTCTGTGCAATCAGGAATTACATTTTTGATCCAATGCATTCTCTTGCAACAACAATCACTGCATTTTTTCGGTAGAGATCAGTCAAACCCCAAAGTCTCTTAAATGAACTATGACCATATCTGCTGTGTGACAAGACTACTGGACCACTCATATGCATATGGACCATATATGCCTTAGAAATACTGTCTGCAGATGTCAAATCAGAGCTTTTTATTTCCTAGGAGAGTCATCAGATGAATTTGAAAGCATCCATACATTCTATGGGGTGAGAAGGGGATATGAATTATGGATCGTTTCTTTGTACCTCTTAAATTGTATGATACAAGATAGGCTTGCTTTATCAGAATTTACATTGCCTATGACTCCTACGTCAAAGTCCATCAAATCTCCATCTCAGCTTTTATGCGGAGTTAGTAAAGAGATAACGCTTTGTGCAGTGCCCTTCCCACCGTGGCTAAATTTAAGTTTATTTTCTCTGCCCCATTGAAAATCTGCACAGGCTTATTTTTTTCACTTATAAAAAACTTATAAAAAAAGTTCTAATAGTGATTCCTATTGTCCTAAAATGGAGCCATACTGCCACATATATATGTAATATCTAACAAAGATGGAAATCAAAGCTACACTAATGCTAGTTAGCGGGACATCAACTAATCTTTTGCCACAGCTGCATCATTTGAGGTGTCCACATACATGCAGCACGTGAGCCTGAACCATATCTAAAATGAATGGCTACTGATATAACAACATAAGCCCTAGTTCACATGTATGTGAATTGGATGAGATCTGTACCACATCCGATTTGCATGCCATGTGAACCTTCAGCCTTTTCAATGGAGCTGGTTCACATATGTGTGGGCAGGCCAAAAAACACATTTTTAAAAAAAAAAAAAGTGTCTGGTACGATTTTGAGCCGGGTTCAGGTGTGATTTCCAATGTAATACAGTTTTTACAATTTGAGCCTAAATTTCAACTGAGCAACTGAACAAAGTAGCACCGATGGAGGCTATTGCGCTGTCAAAACCGACCCACTCATATGTGAACCCAGACTTAGAAAGGTGACAAGATGGCACTCCAGACCACGTTTCATTTTATAAAAGAAATAAACCTGAGAAGTCATAGACTGTTCCCATGAAATTCATCATATTTAGATATAGAATAAAAACAAAAAATAAAAACAAAACAAAAAATAAAGTGAGCACTTGGAGATCTGGGAACAGCTGGCACATATGGAGAACCCACCCAATAAATAAATACAAATACATTGAAGTGCTGCACTATAAACAATATATACAAATGTGTCCACCTTATACTTGAATAACAAATACTTTCAAGATGATATGATATAATGACCAAAATATGTTAACAATATTAATCGGTGACTTTCACATTAAGAATCAAAAAACTTCCAGAACAGTACAAAAAAAGCAAAATGTGGAAAGCAAGTGCACAGTAAAAATAACGGCGCAAACAGTCCATATGAACTGCAATCTTCAATGAAGTGAAGCAATATCCAAATCAGAAGCTTTCAGAATCAGTGCAAAAATAGAGCAAGTGCACAGTGAACTAGGTGACTGCACACGCAGTCCACATGAACTACAGTCATCCGTGTAGTGAAGTAACATTCAAATGTGAAAAGGACATCTGTGAGAAGCTTCACCAATATGCACTCTCCAGAACTAAGATCAAATCAGCTTCAAATGTGACATTCCAAGACAATCAATACTCCTCCTCTCGGAGCTGGTTCAGAGCCATCAGTAGTCATCATCATTGAAATATGGCTGCTGGACCAAACATGGACTCGGCAGCGTGACATCAGCACGTAGGCTCCTCCCTGACATGTGTTGTGCACACGCACATTCTCAAAGGGTTCCTTACAGTCTACTTTTGTCTAGTTCGAAGAACTGTGAGGAAATCTTGTACAAGTACTATAATATATTATATTGGTATGTCTTTATATGATGCTTTCTTTATAAACATACGCAATTTAAAAAGCTGACTATATTATTTATATTGTTAGTGTGTATTATTCCTGAGTTTTTCTTGAAGAAACCCCAATCTATGATTTTAGCACCCACATTCATGTAAATAACATGTTTTGATGTTTTCATCTGAGTGGGCATTTTCCTACCCTCTGTTTTGCCAATTATGAAGTATTTTATAATAAACAAAAGCATCTGTTGTCTGTGTTTTATCAGTGCTAAAACATATGACCTAGAGTCTAAAAGTTTAAACCTAAAAGCCTAAGAAATTATTGCAGAAGTTAGAGACCTTATTAAAGTCTAGAAATAATTCTGTCTTCAAGGCTTACTCTAGAATATGTCAACTCAAGTAACTTTTTCCCACTGACACCAATGATGAGTTATTGTTTGCTCCCACACAAGGACATTTTCTACTCCCGCTGGCCACAATCCAGCTCCCCTAAAGTCTGAAGGACAGTAAACTGACCCTTCACTTAGAAAGTTTGGAGATTCCTGGTTTAAATAAATACTATTGCTCTTGGTAAACCCTCAGCATCCCATCTTTTTTTTCTTTCTTACAGAGGCTTACAGCCTATTACCATTAAGAGAATAAGATCACTGCCTTTACACACACATGAACTTTAATGGCATCCCAGTCTTGGTCCATAGGGTTCAATATTGCATTGGCCCACCCGTTGCAGCTATAACTGCTTCAACTCTTCTGGGAAGGCTATCCACAAGGTTTAGGAGGGTGTCTATGGGAATGTTTGACCATTCTTCCAGAAGCACATTTGTGAAGTCAGGCACTGATGTTGGATGTGAAGGTCTGGCTTGCAGTCTCAGGACTTTGTGCAGGCCAGTCAAGTTCCTCCAGCCCAAACTCGCACATCCATGTCTTTATGGACCTTGCATTGTACACTGGTGCGCATCTTGAAACAGGAAGGGGCCATCCCCAAACTGTTCCCACAAAGTTGGGAGCATGAAATTGTACAAAATGTCTTGGTATGCTGACGCCTTAAGAATTCCCTTCATTGGAACTAAGTTGCCAAGGCCAACTGCTGAAAAACAACCTCTCACCATTATCCCCTCTCCACCAAAATTTGCACTTGGCACAATAAAGTCAGGCAAGTACCGTTCTCCTGGCAACCGCCAACCCAGACACATCCATTGGATTGCCAGACAGAGAAGCGTGATTCATCACTCCAGAGAAAACGTCTCCACTGCTCTAGAGTCCAGTGTTGGCATGCTTTACACCACTGCAACCCACTTTGTAAGGCTTGGATGCAGCTGCCTGGCCATAGAAACCCATTCCATGAAGCTCTCTACACACTGTTGTGCTAATTTGAAGGCCGCATGAAGTTTGGATGTCTTTAGCTATTGACTCTGCAGACAGTTGGTGACTTCTGTGCATTGTGTGCTTCCGCATGCGCTAACCCTGCTCTGTCATTTTACGTGGCCTTACGTGGAGTTGCTGTTGTTCTCAGTTGCTTCCACTTTGTTATAATCCCACTAACAGTTGACCATGGAATATTTAGTAGCAAGAAAAAGTTATGGATGTATTTATTGCACAGGTGGCAACCTATCACGGTGCCACACTTGAAATCACTGAGCTCCTGAGAGCGACCCATTCTTTCACAAATGTTTGTAGAAGCAGTCTGCATGCCTAGGTGCTTGATTTTATACACCTGTGGGCATGGAGGTGATTGTAACAGCTGAATCCAATGATTTGGAGGGGTGTCCCAATACTTTTGGCAACATGTATATGTTTCAGCAGTCACTGCTATTGCCTCTAATAGATTTTTGTTGGATCATTTAGTCAAAAGATTGTTAAAGCAGCTTTCAAACTTCCGTACTCTGGAGTGTATTCCTCTGTACACTGGCAAAACAAAACAAAAAAAGAAAAGCTTTTTGGCCTTTATGCTTCTAAAAAGGTCAAGCGGTATCCAAAGCCTCTCTTTTCTGTGTGGTTAAAAGGCGTAGTTTCAAGGTCTTATGCTGAAGGACTTTCTCTACCTTTGTGCATAGTTACTCTCTCCAAAAGAGCTACTGAAGCATCATGGGTCAAAAGAGTCTAAGTGCAATAAAAATTCTTTATATGGTCCTAAATGAAAAAAAATTGTCAAACATAATGGGAAATAAAACATATACTATTTATAGATGTGCTGTGATGTCACTCTTGGGTGCTGTAGTGATTTGGACTTCAAATCCTCTCCTTACTTCACCTCCATTACATAAAAGGGTGTTGATTTGTAGTTCTCAGAATATAGCAATGAAACCTGATAACATTGTTTGGGGTACCGTCCACAGAAAGTTACAAGCCCACTGAATTTCCAACTGGGTCAACAGATGTTTTTCTGCACTTGCAGAATATATACTAAACCTTAAAAAGAAAACGAATACAGCCGCCAATGGTGAGACTGGTAAGCTGCAATATATTGCATTTTTTTTTCCTTGGGTTTAGTCATTCATTAACCACTTCCTGTCCACCCATAGTCTATAGACTGCTGATGGGAAGCTATGCCCATTCAAGCTAACGTACCTGTACATCAGTCTGCATTGACAGCTCCCGAGCGACAGAGCGCACACTTGGGAGCCCGGCGATCTGTGTGTCACCTGAGAACATTACCGCTGTGACCAGGTGATCACATGGTTTTTTTTACCATGTGATTGCTGTGTCCAATGACCGCAATCATATAGTAAACAATAGAAAGTAAAACTAAGCATCAGTTTCCTCTGCTCTAACTTGAGAGCAGAGAGAACCAATGTTGCAGCTTGTGAGTGTACAGCAGCCTGTCGGGCTGCATGTACACTGCTGTGACAGCCACCCCAGTGTCCCTGGTCACTGCCCCAGTGTAGTCCCTAATAATGCAGCCAGCCCCTGTCACCTGTCCCAGTGCTCATGATGCACCATACCAGGGGTGGACTGACAACTCCTGGGGCCCCCAGGCAATAGGGGATCATGGGGCCCCTGTGTCCTTGCCCAAACTCAAAAAAGCCTATGAAAAAGGTACCAGGGGCATCTCATGGGGCCCCTTACTGACCCCGGGCCCTCGGGCAGTGCCCGAGTTTCCAAATGGTCTGTCCGCCCCTGCACCATACCAATGTCCTGATCAACGCCATACCAGCACCTAGATCACCACCATATGGCATACCAGCACTCTGATCACTGGTATACCCCATACCAGCATTCTGATCACTACCGTATCCCATACCAGCATCCTGATCAGCCCATATGCCATACCAGTGTCACCAGCATACTCTATATCAGCATTCTGATCACCCCATATGCCCTACCAGCATGATGATCACTACCATACCTCGTGCTAACGACCTGATCACCATGATACCCCATACCAGTGTCCTAATCACTGCCATTTGTTATACCTGCGTTCGGCACTTTAGGGTCACAACTGATCATTGTTTAAATATATATACCATAGTTTGTAGACTTGATAGCTTTCACACTAATATACACCATTTTTGGTTATTTTTACCTCAAAAATGTAGCAGAATACATTTTGGTCTAAATTTATGAAGAAAAATTATGTACTTGCAAAATTTAAAAACAAAAACTAAGAAAAAAAAAATTTTTTTTTCAAAATTATCGGTATTTTTTTCATTATATAGCAAAAAATAAAAATCCAGTGGTGTTCAAATACCACCAAAAAAAATCTCTATCTGTCTCAAAAAAATGCTAAAAATTTCATATGGGTACAGTGTTGCATGACTGAGTAATTGTCACTCATAGTGTGATAGTGCTGAAAATTGGCCTGGACTGGAAAGGAGTAAAAGTGTCTGGACTTGAAATGGTTACCTAGCTTGTCCTCAAATCTTTTTTTTTTTGTTTTGTTTTTTGCTTTTTTGCTTTAGAAGTCTTTATTTATTCTTCCATAAAAATAAATCTTGACTTCTTTATGTCTTTATTTGAGAAAAGGCAATTCTGTTTACTGCAAAAGTATCATTTTATTTGCAGTAAAGAAACTGCCTCATCGAGTTCTAGATGCAAATTCACATTTGCTGGGCTGTGCTGTGAACCATTACTTGTCATCTGTGTGGATACAATGGGGAAAATGCACAATGCTTGTATAGCACAAGTGGGTATATTAATCAAAGAGTGATATTTTCTGATGTGAGCTAAATCACTTGATATTATGTTATAGGATGGTTCTAATTCATCACAGAGAGATTTTTATTCCTTTTTTACATTTTGATCAATTGGCTCAATAAAATAACACAGGATTAAGTGTTATCTCAAATAAGATGATACCAGTGCTTGATAAATGAACCATGTTGCTGTATGTAATAAGTAGTCTCCTGTGCTTACAGTTTAGGATTTTGTGTGTGTTTCCACATACTGAAAATATATTTTTTTGCAGTGTTTGCAGCAGAAAATAGCAGCTTTCCCAATTTTCTGTGAAATGTATTGTTGAATAAGCAAATGCTCAAATTAATGTGGCTGGAAATATTTTCTACTGCTTTAATGGGTTTGCATGCCTAATTTATCTTTCTAATTTTGCTGCATTTTACAGCCTTTTATAGCAAGCCTGTTAAAGTGGTTTTTCATTTTTAAATAGAGAGAGGAACATCTCTGCCTGTCCTCTATGTCCTCCCTGCTGATGACTGGTAGGGGTCTCCATGCTCAGAAACTCCACCAATAGACGGTTTTAGGAGCACTGCCAAGCAGCTCCAAAGCTCTCATTACTTTTGCTGTGCAGCTGACAGTCTGAGGCTGCTTGTTTGCAATGGGCTTCTCAATTGCTGTTGTAAACAGTGAGGATATTACTATCAATTACTGTTGCTGACCTGCTTACTGCTTAGGTAAGAACCCCAATACCCTCCCCAATCTGTCGAATGCTGCATTTTTTGCGTATTAACCCTTTGAGAACCGTAAGATTTTGGAACGCCAAAAGAATCAATGTTTTTGTTTTCAAAGTTCGTACACTTCAGTTGCTGTAACTAAGCCATTTCATGAAATAATTGGCAAAAAGCTAGATCCATTTGTTGTTTGTCGATAAGAACTAATATTTTGACTCAAACTAAAAAAAAAAAAAAGAGTTTTAGGTTCTTAATCAGATGATACACGCAATTAAAAACATGGGACAAATACGTCCCTTGGTCCTCAAAGGGTTAAGGTGCATTGCATGAATGCAGCCCAGTCATTTAAACGGGCTACCTACCGCACCAATATCACTCCAAAAAGTTGCTTGTGCTATTTTTTTGTTTACCATGCATTGCGTGTGCTGCAACACACGTTTGTTGGTGTGATGTGTTTGTCATTTTAACCACGTTAGCCCCAGGACATTTCTGGCACTTTGTTTAATTTTTAAAATCCGTATTTTTTTTTTGTTAGAAAATATCTAAGAACCCCCAAATATTATATATATTTAACGCAGAGGCGCTAGAGAATATATCGGTGGTCTTTGCATTTTTTAATGTCACATGATATTTGAGCAGCACCTTTTTTAAACTCAATTTTTGCAAATATTATTGCAGAAAAACACAATACATAACCCATTTTTCTGTAAAATATAAAAGATGATGTTACAGTATGCTGAGTAAATAGATACCAAATGTCAAATCCGATCATGTCAAGTTGGCAAATAAAAATAGATGTATAGGAAATTTAATTCATGTTAATTTGTTAAAAAAAAATTTTGCTGGGCCACAGTCTTCTCTGCAAATGTGATATTATTAGTATTCAGTTTAAGCTAATTGGATTAAATACCATGCAATGTCTATTTTATTTTGATTACATCCAATGTGTGGGTCTTTCATTTGCATGTTGTATGAGATGAGACATTTTAGATTGTTGATGTAACATTATGCTTGGAAAATAAATGTGAATGATTATGAATTTATAATTTTTATTATTGATATAAAATGAACCAATATTAAAGAGAACTGTCACAAAGTGTTCCTATAACAAAATGTTAACAGTTTTGCTGAGCTGGATAAACAAACCATAACCATTTCAGCTCCAGGCCATTTCTTCCACTTTTTGTTTGCATGTTACCAGTATTTTTTGCTAGAAAATGTCTTAGAACCCACAAACATTATATATTTTTTTTTTTGTTTACAAACGATTTTATTGTACAAGAGTAGACAGTAGAACAACAGCACATTTTAAAAGTGATATTGTCAGCAAAAACAAGGCACTTTTGAAAAGTACAATACATAAAGGTATATTAACATAACAAAGAAGATAAGAAAAAAAAAGAGGAAGTTACAAGTGCATGAAGTACATAAACGACAAAATAGGTTAGGTGATACACCTGTCAATAGTACATGCCAGCCAACTTTTACTGGGGATGTTATTAAGCATGTAATAAGTGTCTGCAATCTCTCCATGACTCCCATTTTTTATCGTATAAGTGCAGCTTATCCAGTAGGGTATAATGAATGCGTTCCATAAGCATTATAGTGTCAATTCTGTGTAAAACGGAGTCTAAGGGTACAACATTGGACCTCCAATGTAGGGCAATAGACCATAAAGTGGCAATACATAATGTGTGTATCAATCTCAGATTGGCATCAGAGACCCCTGGGATATGGGCCCCCAACAAACAGGTCTGCATGGACAATCGTATCGGGGCGCCCGACAATAAGGTAGCGACCTCAGAAATCCTACGCCAGATCAAAGATATGGTCGGGCAATCCCAAAATATATGAACCAAAGTACCCGTGCAGTCACAGCCCCGAAAACATAGAGGGGACGTTTGTGGAAACAGTACATGTAGTCTTGACGGGGTATAATACCATCTGGTTAGAACTTTAAGGGCCGTCTCACGAACCGAAAGAGATCTAGAGCTCTTGCATATATTATCCACCATGGAATCCCAATCCTCATCCATCCGAAAAAGTGACGCCACAATCCTCCTCCCATTTTCGTCTGTACAAAGGGGGAGCATGAAAAAGACAGATCAAAAATTGGTGATAAAGATTTGAGATAAGACCCCTACCCCTGGGAGAGTCACGGCTGACACGTTCAAAAAAGGAAATCGGAGAGGATGGGGCAAGGCCAAAGTGCGCTTTAAAAAAGTGCCTAATCTGTCTGTAACGAAGGTACTCGCGAAGAGGAACATCAAACAACACGCGCAGCATATCAAAGGTAATATAAGATCCTCCTCTTTGGAAATCAGACAATCTGATAAAAGATCGATCATACCACCAACGAAACATATGAGGGGAAGAAAAGGCTACAACAAAAGTAGGATCCCCAAAAAATGACACACCTGGGGGAATAGAAGAGACTAAACCCAATTTAGATTTGTGTTTGGACCAAAGCGTCAGTGAGTGAGTCACTATGGAGTTATAAAAAACAGTCGATCGGGGGGAGATGTTAGACCATAAAATTCCCGGTAAATAAAAAGGGCGTATCGACTGAGACTCAAACTTGATCCACGGGATTTGAGAGTTAATAGTAGCCCATTGTGACAATTGCGCAAAGCGAGCCGAGAGATAATATAGCCAAAAGTTAGGAAGACCGAGACCTCCCGACCGTTGCGAGCGATACAAAATGGATGAGGCAAAACGTGGATGCTTATTTCCCCAAATAAAATTATTAATAGTCCGCTGAAAATGATCCAAAAAGGTTTTTGAGACCGGAACTGGAAGTGCTCTAAAAAGATAAAGCAATTTGGGCAAAAATATTCATTTTAACCGCCGTGACTCTACCCAGAAAGGAGATATGATAACCGTGCCAGATCTTCAGTAGAGTAGAGAGACGCGATACACATGGTGGATAATTAGCCGCAAATATATCCGAGTATCTGGGAGTGAGGTTAATCCCCAGATAGGATATCCTGTCCTTGACCCAGCGAAATGGGAAAGAACTACGGAGAGATGCACTTAGGGAGTCAGGAACATTAACAGGCATGACCACAGATTTGGTAAAATTAACGGTGAGACCTGACACTTTGGCAAAATCGTTCAATACAGCACACAAGTTAGGTAAAGAAGTCAACGGGTTAGTAATAAAAAGCATAACATCATCAGCATACATGCTCAATTTAAAATGTGAAACTAATAATGAATAGCCAGAAATATCCGAATGTGATTTAATCGCCAATGCCAAAGGTTCCAACACCAGCGCAAATAAAAGGGGTGAAAGAGGACAGCCCTGGCGGGTACCTCTACCCAATGTAAAGAAGTCAGAGTTACAGCCAGGAAGCCTAATTCTCGTTTTAGGAGAGTCATACAGGGCATGTATGCCTGCCAAAAACCCCTCACTAAAGCCCATTTTCTGTAGCAAGGAGAACAAGTAGGGCCAAAGAACACTATCA